CCTACTATTGGATTTTAAGCTAGTAGTACATTCTTGTCAGAAGGAAGTGTTTGGCTTTGATTACTGAGGAGAGTTACAACAACATGCTGATAGTAGTACTACACTAAGAACCAGAGATGAAAAACCTCATTTGCTGCTTTGACAATGGCATCAAGAGGGAATTTTCCAATCAACTCTAGCAGATCCTTCACTACCTCCTGTCTCAGCAGTATGAATATACTAGTACTAGTAGTATCTCCTCCTCCTGCTGCTACTACTACTAGTACCACTAGCAGCACTACTATTTCTACTACTAGTGGGGAATAGGGTGTGCTGAGGTATTTACAGGTAGGAAAATGTGTAAACGTAGTTTATTGAAAGTAGGGTATTTGCATTGTTTTAGTTGTATTGGTACTTCTTTTTGCTTCTATTTTTTTGGGATTATTCGAAAAGTTCAAGTTTTTCACAAGTATGGTTCTCACATGTGTACCTCCTCATAAGGTACTAGCAAACAAGAAGAAAATACTAAGCATACTAGTAGTAGTAGTAGTACTACTACTATAAGACAATAGTAGTAATTGATACATTAATTGTTGAGGCATTGAGAATGTTAATTTAACATTCTGAATATTAACATGTAGACCTGCTGAGTAGAAATGATTACTGCTCTTTTGCTTGAATTCAACATTCTTCTGAATGTTCCCCTTCTTAACACTCTTATTGTTAGCACTACTAGTAGTAACAGGCATGTATGCTGATCTGTGCTCTTCCTCGTCTTCCTGTTCTTCTTACTCATACTTTTTTAACTACTAGTGGTACTAGGCACCATCCCTACCCTGAAAAAAAACAAAATTGTTTTTTTTTTAATGCTACTAGTGGCACCACCTTACCACCAAATGAAGAATGGGGATAAAACCAGGATTTAGGTACTAGTAGTACTAGTACTAGTAGGCTTACATTCCAAATGCTAAATTAAATTTCAGAAAATTAATTGTATCAGTTGTAATGTTCCCAATGCCTCAATTAGTGCAATTTCAATTGTTACATAATTTGAATGTTTTGGCATGTAGTAGAACTTTGCAGGGACAAAAACTGCAAATTTTCATTTAAGTACAAATTTAGTTCCTTACATGTTAATGCACCATGCAGTAAACTGCAGAACCTGCAGTACAAATTTAATTGTTGTGTAAAAAAGCCAGTAAGAACTACCAGATTAACACATAGTGGTTTTTGGTACACTTTATCTTAACATCCCAATTAATATATTGGGCCTAGTGGCGGGTAGTTGGTTGATACAATTTTATGCTGAAACTACTACGTCAGGAATCACAGCTGTAGGAACAAGCTCAGTTGTAAGAATAATTGGAGGCTCAGTCATGAGCTGAGTGGAAGATAAGTCCTTCACAATTAGATGAGAAATTGTCCATTTGTTATCCTCACAAAAGCATCCAGCAGAGGAACCTTTGCTGCTTTTGCAATTACATGAGGTGGGACATCTGAAATTTCTTTCTCAAGAAGGAGGAGTATAGGAGAACATTCCTCTGCATGGACAAAAAGTAAATTTACCTCTTGAAGTTTTTTCACCTTCAGGTTCCTTGCATCATTAAGATTCTTAATTGTCTCATAATTCATCCTCTTCAAGACTTCACTGGTAATGATGGGTTCTTGTTATGATCTTGTCAATCTCCTCTTGCTCTCAAACCTTCTGACAACATCACTCAAAATCCAACAGGAGAGTGGTGGAAACTACTAATCTCTCATGGACAATTTTCAGTAGTAGTGGTACAAGTAGCTAGTAGTAGTAAATTAATATATTACTACTAGTACTACAACACATTTGTACTACTACTACTAGTAATACTAGTTCTTGCATTGCTCAGATAATGGTGTGGATGTTGATACTTCATATCTTTGAATGGAGCTCAGCAGTTGTACTACTACTACTAGTACTACTAGTAGTACTGACTTGTTCAGGCTTAGTAGTACTGATGTAGATATAATAATAATGATTTCAAGTGATCCTCCATCCTCAGTACTAGTATGACCAATGCACTCATTTGTGTGTTAAGATAAATCCTGCAAAAAACTAGTAGGTCTTTATCTCATATTTAAATGCAGGGATAGACAACATTAAAAAGAAGGGTATTTTGGTACTACTAGTTTTACTACTAGTGGTGTATGACTTTAGTACTACTAGTACTGTGTCGTGCATGATAGGCATTTTCAAGGTAATAATGAAAAAAAATCCTGTTGCGTGTTGTCAAATGTTGCCACCCAGAAAATAAAAAAAATCATTCTTTGCTACTAGTACATAGGTGGTACTAGTACTAGTACTAGTAGTACTGGTACTACTGTACTTCATACATCCCTATCATCACTGAAATATATGATTGTTGTTCTTCTGAATATAATTTAATAAAGCAAGAATCATTTAAATAATACTATTCACTTAAAACACAATACAACACCTGATGTTTCTTGAAGTTACGCCAATGCTCTTTGCATACAGCAACATTGCAACTTCTGCAACCGTTCCTTGAAATTTTCATACTAGTACTACTAGTCCCGCCCGGCAACTTCTGCTTCCTCCTCTTCTTCAAGAATCTCCTCGTCACCACCACTCACTGATCATCAGTGAGTGGTGGTGATTCATGATGAATTAGGAGGATACCGCCTACTGCTTTGTTGCGTTGCTTCTTCTACACAGACAACACAATAGTTCCTCCTCACTCCTTCATACWTACCACTGCATATTTCTTCCTGTGGCTTTGAAGTTAGCAAAGTTACCTTTCCAAGAGCAATGGCATTGCTGGTAGTTTTGTTCACAGCACCATAGAAGAAGCACATMYCACAATCATATRAAAAACTAGAAAACTGAGAAGTACGAAGTTCTACGGTACGGTACAGTAGAAGTGTTCTAAAAAAGTTCCTACATCGAAGTACAAAGTACCGTTACGCATTGGTGTCGATAGTGTAAGTAACCATTTTTAAATCAAACACGACTTAGATTTTTCCAAAGCCCCTCCATCTATTCCGAAAGTTTACTTAAYGTATTGTCATTATTGTAACATGTGTATGGCATCACGACTAGAAACAGGCGCGACGGGCCTCAGTCGACGTCGCGTTTTGATTAAGCCGCACTCTCCTTTCGATCATTCAATACGCAATGGCTCTGGGAATGTGGAAACGAACCTGATGTTGAAACGAAAGATATGGCGAAATTGATATCGCGCGGTCATTGGTGTCTGACAGGTAATACGAGAGTGTTCTTCGAAGTGAATCTGAACTAGTACAACCGTATTAAGGAACYAAGATTCCCTTAAGTTTTTGGCYAGATCGTTCCGTTGACCTATTAAAAACGTTAAGGRGTCTCATTGGAAGGGAATCTTTTSTAGAGAGCACGTGCTTTTGGAGATAGATTGGCATTTTCCATGTCCCGGATTATCACAAGACTAGTCAGTCATGAATTATGTGTTGATTGGAAGTTGACAAGGCGAACCTTTCAACGGCTGGGAGGAGAAGTGATATGAGATAGCTACCGGTACCGGTATGGGATGCACATCACGACAAATGTTTGAAGAACATTAACCAGCGAATAAGAATTCAAGAATTGGCGCTCATTTTTTCTTCTCGTCAATGCTGACACGTGGTTCGTTACTTTTCGTTTCTGATCTCACCGAAAGATTTCTCTTGAAGCCATTTCATCCCACGATTTCTTTCACATTTGCAACTTGAGTGGAACATTTTTCATGCATGTATGCTGTCAGTATTCATCACAAGTTCACCCAAAAAACTTCTTTTCTCACCACCAAGAATTTTTTGAGAAGCAACGACGTTTTCCCTCATTTTTAAAACTTCACAAATTCGTTGATTTCAAACATAATATTATATTCTTAACAACATCTCAACCTACCACAAATCGTAAGGTCACCATGAAATCTTCTTCTTTCTTCTTCACCGCATTCTTCTCGTCCTTCTTATCCGGCGTCGTCCACGCCGAATATGACCAAGGCTCCCTTGTCAGCGAKGGCTCTTTCCTTCGACGCGGGCTGCAAGCTCCTCTTCCGACCTGCACCCCAATGGGCSTATCYCCCTATGAATACACGGTTTACACCAAGATCTCGTACGAGGGGGTGGATTTCGATTTCACGTGAGTRCTATCTTACAGTCCGGTGGAGACAATGATGTCTTGCGTTATCCGCTCATTCGACAAAGCTAATRCCAAGTCGCGAACGGACTTCACTCACACAACACATCTTTTCGCATTGTTCCTCTTACGACGCATCACACTTATTTCACCCAAAYAAAACCTTCTTCTTGWCCTATAGTAACCTCACCGTTCTTACGCAGCTCGAGGACTCCTTTAAAACGTCCTATAACAGCTTCATTGGTTGTCAAACGGTTTCCGCCAATGCCTTCAAGATCCTAGGACTGACCCTTGTCCTTGGATCTAATACTACCGAAAAATCGTTTTTAATCGGAAGTAGCATCCGTTCAAACGCTGGAGAGTTTGAGTGTACGCCCGCCGCCCCGGAACTGTTCTCGAAYGCGACGCATCCTCAAGTACTTTCGAGTCCCAACGATTGTTCGTGCAAGGGCCCCACKTCCACCATCATGAARAACGGATACAACATTGCGATTCACACTGGCGATTGTCCTCAAAATATCACCGGTGTGAAACAACTCTGCATGGGCGCGTGTACCGAAAATACCACCGACGTTACCTATACCAATGAGCTGGTTAGCATCCCTTGCAATTTGGGAACCGAYGTCCAGAGCACTCCATCCAAAAGTCCAACGAAGCGTCCCACGAAGAGACCCACCAAGCGTCCCACGAAGAGGCCAACGAAACGTCCTACCAAGAGACCCACCAAGAGACCCACCAAGAGACCCACCAAAAGACCCACCAAGAGGCCTACCAAGAGGCCCACCAAGAGGCCCACCAAGAATCCCACTAAGAATCCAACCGCAACACCGACCGCAAAACCGACCGCAACACCGACCAAGAATCCAACTCCTGCGCCTACAGCCAAGCCCACCACACCCGTGATAATCAATACCATGGTCAACTCTGCCAATGCTACTGTCGACGTAGACTACAACAACGTTGAGAGCGTGGCGACCTTCTGTGTGCCGGGAAAGAATAGCAAGGTCCAGGTGATCCAAAAAGGAGGAGAAAGCGTCTGGTGCATTAAGAACCGAGCGGGTTCCAGGATCAACTTCTTGTCCGGCGGCACCCTCGTTASTAGCGTGGTGTATTTCCCCACGGCAATCTGCGGTACCCAACGTACGRTTCCCGCGTACAACTATTGCGGATTTTCGGGAGTTCAAACCGACTCCGACATTCCACTCCCCGTCCCTACTACAAGTCCCACCGTTGCGCCTACCGCGTCGCCTACGCAAACCGGCTTCCCTTCGAGTGCCCCCGTTACACCGTAAGCTTTAGACAAAGAACATACATCGCAAGCGCAATCTATATTCCAATAATACCAAAAAATCGAATTCAGAACGAACGGAGCGTGATTCCAAGAGCTACAATTTCTATGAAAAACAAARAGCCAATTTGTCGTCTCGGTTGAGTCTAGCATTGCTGTTGTCCGCGTCGATTTGGACGGAACGAAATCAGCAATTGYTTTGTGGTAGACCGATCAAACCAAAAAAGTACAGAAGTGATGATAATTAGTAATTTAAGTAACTGTCAAAATTTTTAGCATTCATGCGTCTGCGTCGTGCCGAAACGGATTTGACGTCGAAAAATAGTGTGTTTAATCGATAATATTAAAAATTTCTCTTGCAGTGGATTCTCGACGACAAATAGTGGTGGCTGGTGACTAGATGCGCATACCGACAAAGTTTCGTCGATTTCGGAMGCTTTGATGGCTTCCATTCACTCTCCTGCTCGCAGGCACCTTGCCMWGTTCTGAAAACCATGGTACCGACCAGGACCGACCACGGTGCCGAGTCCTGCGGCGGGAGATGGCGACAACCCGGACGGCGGTAGCCTCTGCACGGAACAGAGTCCGTCCGGTTCGTCGTCGTCGTCGTCGTGCAGCGCAACGTTTTCTCTTGCGCTCTCTGTTGGCTTCCTTCCSTTGTTGGATCGGTTTTTTGGCGTTCGTCAGAGGGGAGCACGGGTGCGACCCGTGCAGGGACACTTGTGCGGGAGGCGGTGATTCGTTGCGTGGCAGAAAACGAAAGGAACGAAATGYCAATCGGTAGCTCGTACGTGTTGAATGTTTCTTTTGTTCTGTTTTGCGTGACGGCACCGTGATAGAGTCAGAGCGAAAAATACTACTGTTCTGTTCTTTCAGCGGTACGAGCACGTACGGTACCATACCGTATTCCAAACTCGACCTCGAAAAGGAAGAAACGAAGAACAATAATTTGAAAATTTGCGGTGCGGCGATGCCTAAATGCACTGGAGTAGGTCACCGTAGCGCACGTACGCCAAAACTTTACTTCAAGTAAAGAGAGCGAAAAAATTAGACCAGAATTCACGCATATATATTGCCCAGCAGCGGGCGGGTATGGTAGGCTCCTAGGAAGTAGGTAGCTCCTACCATGCCATACCGCATCCCTTTCACGTTGCAAACCCACTTCCCGTAAGTACCGTACCGCAAGGAAGATACGCCGAGGAGCGTGAATTCGGATCGAAATCCGCACGTGCCCACTTATTCGATTTGGAAACGGTCGGACACSGCGTAGGTGCGGTGCGTCAAGCTGGCAAATTGGATTGGGGCACGGCTTTGAAATGCCATCACCTCGCCGATGCGCGACGCGGCGAACCCGAGAAGAACGATCCGTCGTCGGCGGAGTTGGTCGCGCTTGGAGGAATCTTGCCGACCGCGCGGGCACGGGATCCATCCTTCCGTCCCACGGAAGGGCCACGGGCGTCCGTCCGTCCGTCCGTGTCTGGGGCGGCGACGCGGCGGGGTGCAGGCCTCCGTTCGTCTCCTCCGTGACACCGCTTTTCGCCCTTTCGCGCCGCGGCGCGGGGGATACGGTAGATAGGAACGTATCGTAGGTGTGTACCGTACGTTCATACCACCCCGCGTCTCGGGTCTCGCACCGCTCGACGACTTCGACCCCAAAGTCTTTGGGGGGGAGATTCATTCGGACACTGACTCACTCGACTGAATGGCCGGCAATGGTTCCATAGAACATTCGAAATTCGAATGCAAACTTTCGGCATCCTTCCTTGACGGTACGTACYGGTACGAATGCTACCGGTCCGGTACGAGTAGTATTAACGAGGAGGTAGTAGCTACTAGTAGTAGAAGTAGTCTATGGTTATTCGCATCTGAGTACYAAGAGCATTCTTGTATGCACGGTAGAACATCTCAGGAGCATTGCTAGGACTCTGACAAGGAGACTGCAAGCTGGTCCTTTTGTGTTTTTCGCTGTCGTGTGGTTCTAGTGGTGGCTTCTCGTCGGTATCGTGGTGTGTTCTCTACTACAACTAACTAGTAGTATAGCAACAGAAGTGCCAGGAACGGTCCTCGGATCGATCGATCCGATCCGATCGATCGATCGATCGACCCGAGCCCTCCTCTGCTTTGTTTGGAACGAGCAAGCAACGAGAAGCGGCAGCGTGGTGTGTTTGRGGTGGGATTATAAGAACATACTATAGGATAGATAGGAAGATAGGTGGTGGTAGGTAGATATACATAGTAGTAGTTGTGTTGCGTGTGCGCGTGTGCTTGCGTGCCTCTCGGCAAGGGGTGGATGCGGTCCCGCACGTACGATGTGGTACGGTGCGATGTGATGCGGTAGGGTCCGGTAGGGTCCGGTGTGGTGCCCACACGAAAGGGTGCCGGGTTGCTTGCTTGCTTGCGTTCTTTCTTTCTTTACTGCTTGCATTCTTCGGACGGCGGGGGGTCCACGGCTCGTGCCTTTGCCTTTGCCTTTGTCGTTGCCTTTGCCTTGGCCTGTGCCGGGTGGGTGCGGTGCACCGTCGACTTGGACGCGGACGCCGACGAGGCCGACGCGAGCAGGAGGGGGATCGCCTGCTTCATCTCCCTCGGCAGCAGGTGGTCGAGGACCACCGGGACCGCCCCGGCGACCTCGTTCCGGACCGCCCTGGCAAAGGTGAGTCCGAGGATGGAGTGGAGGTGGTGCAGCCTGGCCTCGTATTSCTTTCTCTGGTCCTCGAGGTGGAGCCTGAGCAGGGCCCCCGTGCTCTCCCGGAGGGTGGCCGTCTGCCGCTGGGTCTCCTCGAGCTCGGCCCTGGTGGAGTGGACGTCCGAGTGGGCCCGGTCCAGCTCGTCCCGGACCTCCTCGAGSTCGTCTTCCAGCTCCGCCTGGCGCTCGAGGAGGCCCTGGTGGCAGGACTCCGTCGCYTCCGCCCTGGCCTTTTGCGAGGCGGCCTCGACGGACCGGCCCCGGAGGTCGGCCTCCGCCTCGGTCAGCTCGGAACGGAGTTTCTCGTGGGAGGCCCCGAGTTCCTCCAGGTCGGACCGGCGGAGTTTCAGCTCGGCCGAGAGGGCCCCGCAGCGGTCCTCCAGKTCCTGTTTGGTCTTTTCGGAGCGCTTGGCCTCCACCACCAGGCTTCCCTCCAGGCTGGCGATCTTGGCCTTGAGAGACTCGGCCAGGACCGCAATGGTCTGGGTGGTGGCCTCTGCCTGTTTGCGTTTCTTGGTCTGCAGGGCGGTTTCTTCCCTGGAAGCCGAGAGGGCCTTTTTGGTTTCCGAGTGCGATTCGCGGACCCGGCGGAGGTCCTCGGCGAAGCGGACGGCCTGGTTCTTGTGGATGGAGATGTCTTCTTTGGACCGGGAGAGGGCCTGCTTGGCCCGTTGGGAGATGGTTTCGGCGTGCTTCTCGGCAGCGGCTTTCGCGGCTGCCGCYTCGGTCTGCATCCGGGTGATCGTCTTGGTGCAGGTGCTCAGTGCCTTGGTGGCTCCGGCGAGCTTTTCCTCGAGGGCTTCCTTCTCCCGGTTGGCCTGCGAGAGCCGGTCTTCCAGGGCGGCAGAAGAAGCCTCCGCCCTGGCCTCCGCGGCCTTTTTCTCCTCCAGGGTCTCTTCCAGTTCGGTGCGGGTGCGCTTGTGGTGGGCCAGGGCCTCCGAGAGGGCSTTCTTGGCMCTCGCCTTTTCTTCCTCGAGGGCCTGCTTGAGGTCGGAGGTCTCCTTCTCCTGGGCGGCCGACCGGTCCTTCAGCAGGTCGTTCTCCAGGCGGGAGCTCTCCAGCTGGTGGGAGCACTTGGAAAAGGCGGCCTGGAGGCGCCCGAGCTCGGCCCGGAGGAGTTCCTCGGTGGGGGTGACCTCCATCCACTCGTCGGCCTTGGCCTGGAGCTCAAAGGCGCTGCTCGGAGCCGCCGGTGTTTCGGATCGGTTCGGTGGCATGGCTGTGGTGTGTAGTGTGACTGTGTAGTGTGTGTGTGTGTGTAAGAGATTGGGACTGGGATTGGATTGCTACGAGATTGCTATGGGATGGCTTGCAATGGAGACCGCGATGTGCTTCTCTTCTCTTCTCTTCCGCGCTGCCGTTTGCTCTTCTTCGTGTTCTTTGCGACTGGATGGACGATGCCGTGTTCTTCAAACTTCCGTTCCGGTGGTGGGCCGATYCAAAACTATCGGCACGCTGTAATGGAAATGGAAGGAAAACGAGGACGAAATGAGAACAAGCGGAGAATTGATGACGATTGTCTCGGTTTCGATTCGTTGGGTTGTGTTTTCGTTTTCGTTTTCGTTTGGTTTGGATTGGATTGAATTGGATTGTTGGCAATTGCTGGCGTCGGTTGATTCGACGTACGAGGTACACAAGTACTGTGGTTCCTTCTTGTGTTGACAGCTCTGCTCWCAAACTTCTTTTTTGTCCAGCTTGATGGATTGTTCTGTGTCGGAATCAGAACAAAGAGAGACACGGGGACGTGTTTGTTCTGGAAGAAGGGCTTCTATAGAGAAACAASTGGCGGAAACGGCGAGCGGAACAGATCGCTTCGACGATAATAGTTAGGCTTTGCCTTGTTCTGCGCGTTGTGGAAGGCCGAGGAACGGGAGAGAAAAGGGAAGGGAATGCGAGACGGAAGGGTGCCTTGATTGCGGTGCCGTGACGTATCCGGTGGRTGTCGAAATCCAAAATTTGTTTTCGGCGAGCAAGGAGGGGGGGGCTGGTCTTGTCTTGTCTTGTTCTTTTTTTTTTGTCTTGCTTGCTTGCTTGTCGTGCCTTTTGGCAGCTTGAGGAGTTTTTCCTATCCGCCTCGTTGTGTACGGTACGAGACGCTACGGTGCGTTCCGTAGAACACGAAAGGATGGCAGTTTTTGTTTTCCTTCTCCGGTTTCTGCCAAACAAACAACACGAAACAATTCGTGTTGAAGAGTTTTTTGATAGTGTGGGTGGTTACTTATGCGCTCTCGTGTCCCCACCTCGATCGGTGAGTGATGGGTGGATTGCCCTCCCCCCCCGTACTACTGTGCGGTAGCTCCTACGGGTCCAGGAAGAACCAAGGGGTGTCACACACAACGTCATTCGGAAACCCAATAAGTGCTGCCGGTATTCCTAAGTACGCGSAAGGATTCTCCACCAAAAACGATTTGCTAGGGGACATCCTGTCGTGCCAACCTCGGCCCCGCCCCGTACGCACCCTACCACCGATTCGTTCCACGTGCGCGTTTGGGCGTTGGGTTGCGTGACTAGGCTGCCAAAATTGCGGCACTTAGGAAACCCAGGCCGTWCGAGGTCGCGGGGGCACCCCGGTTTTTCGGCGACAGGTCCCGGGTTCGGTTTCGGGCCGAGGAGGGCGGTCCATCACTCGTACGAAGGATCGGCCCAGCAGGGGTGCGTCACGTCACCCCCCCCCGTCGTTCTTCTCGCTCTGCTCCGCCCGTCTCGCATCGCCTCGCCTCGTGGGTGATGGTACATACATGCCGCAACAGGACGCAACGTAAGGTCCCTGATACTGTACTGTACGGTACAGTACGGTGCCTGCCATTTCGACGCTGCACGACGATCCGGCTCTTTTATGTGTGTGTTTCCTCTGCGGTACGTAGTGAGTACGAGTATGTTTCGTACGTTTCGGTACTTTACCGTACAAGAGGAAACAGATTCCGGACGGGYGGATGGCATCGGGGGAGAGAGTCTTGCGGGAAGGACGCACCCCGGAGAGCGTCTGGTCGTGGATTCTTGCGGTTGCGGTGGCTGCTGCGGCAATTGTCGCACCACTTGTGTGTCTGTGTGTGCTCGCGTTTGTTCGTATCTGTGTGGGTGGTCGTGGATGCCGTCGTTGCGACAATCGTGATTCCTCGTTCTTCTCTGGCGTCCCGGTGCAGGTGCCTTTCTATTCCCGGTTTGGTCGTGTTGTGTTGCGCCGTCCTGTCTTGTCGTGTCGTGTCGTGTCACACCGCATATCCCGGTTCTCGGGGCGCGGGACTCCACCCGCTGCCCGGGTTCCGTTCGGAAGCAGAAGGAGGCACGCCCGGTCGCTGCTTCGAGCGGGATGGTTCGAGAACCCCCACCGATTGCTTCGCGGTCGCATCGTGCCGTTTTGGCACACCCRCTTGTTCCCCGGTTGCCCGAATTCCGACTCTGTTCCGTGGGGGCGGTCCGGCAACGCAAGGGAGGTGTCTGCCCGTAGAAGCTCATCGAAGAAAAGACATCGATTCACCATCGGTACCGGAATGGGAATGAGAAGAAAAGAAGGGCTCTTCTAGGCTYTTTTTCGCAGTAACTAGCAACTTTTTTARTGGATGAWAGCATACRCACAGTTTTCAGACGGCCTTCAATAATGCCAACTAGGGCCGTGTTGTTCTATTTCTACTATAGTATTGCGGGAGCGGTGCGTTCCTTCTCCTCAAGACACTTAGAGCACTGCTACACGCAACCGCATTTTCCTAGCAACGGTGGCAGCCTCGACCAGAGCAGAGCCACGGTACGGAATTCTAAATTTCGCCCCCCGCTTTCGATGCCTGCCACCAGCAAAAACACYATCCGAGTGCCTTGGGTTTGTTCGTCTGTACGCTGTTGGGCGTGTTCGTCGTGCACGATCGTGGCAAGACGCGGCCGCACCCATCCGTTCCCTCCACTGGCGCCGGAGSCGGCGTCATCCAAAGAGATCGTTGACCAGGCTCAGGTTGTCGGCGCCCGCGTCGTAGTTTCTCGTTTTGYTCTTGCCGGCCTTKCCGCCGCTCTCGCCCGGSCTCCGGCCGTGCCCCTCGGTGGCCAGGCCCCTGGCCAGGACCCCCTGGGCGTAGGCCCTCCGGTCGGCCTCGGACCGAAAGGCGAGCTTCTCCTGCTGCTCCTTTTGTTCCCTGGCGCGCTCCTCCCGCAGCTGCTTGGCGGCCTCCCGGTCGCGCTTGGCCCTGGCGACCCGCTCCAGGCGGGCCTTCTCGGCCAGGTCGGCCTCCTCCTTCTCCAGGACCTCCGCCGCGAGCTCCCCGGCCAGCTGCAGCCAGTCGAAGAGCCGGGGGGTCCCCCCCTCGTCGGCGTCGCTCCCGCCGAGGTCTTCCTCGACGGAAGCCCGGAGCCGGTCGGTGGCCTCCCTCAGGTAGGATTGCGGCAGCCCGCCGCCGACCAGTGCCAGGACGGGGGGATCGAGCGCCGATGGAGACCGGCCGTAGGGATAGTAGCTCAAAGAACGGTCGACGTAGACCTCCAGCAAGAGGGGCGGGGGAAAGTCGTAGCGTTCCGGTGGTTCGTAGCCCTGMACGGGGAGGACGCAATCGAAGGAGAAGGGCCGGGTAGGGTCGTCGCACTCGTCGTCGTCGCTATCGTCGTCGCTGTCGTCGTTCCCGCTTTCATCGTTGTCGTTTCTCCATCCAAAGCGTGCGAGATCGTCTTCCCCGTATATCGCTTCCAGGACGTCCTTCTCCTCGTTTCGCGACTCGTAGATCCGGCACCAGAGATCGGTTTCGTCTTCTTCGCACCCGTCSCTGCTGCCCGGCTGGTCCGTACCCGACGCCAACCTCTTCCACAGCCTGGACAAGAGAACCGACGGCTGTACCTGCTCCCCGGTCTCTAGTTCCTCGAGGCCTTGGATTTCCTGGAGGGTGTATCCACGGGCCAGCAAGAACCGCACCGACTCGTCGGTGTGTTCCTCGAGGCGGGCATTGGCTTCCCGCTGCCAGATCGGAAGAAAGCTGCTGTCGTCGTCGTCGTCGTCGTTTCCGGAAGCCGTCTTGCCGGTGGAGGGAGCAACGGRGCGTGTGGGATCGCGATCGTGYTGGTGCTGCACCGCGCCGCCGCCACCGAGACCCAGCTCTTCMAGAGCCGCCAACCCGGAGTCCAAGCCGCTCGACTCGTCGCCCTGTCGGTTTGCCTTCGCTTTCGCACCCCGGAGGTCGTCCAGRACCGGATCGTAGATTTCGACGCCGCTGCCTCCGCCGCCCTGTTTCCGCAGAAATCGTTTCCACTCGATGATCCTGCGCTCGTTGGCCTTCATTTCCTCGTAGTAGTCGATCTGCAGATCGCTCGACTTGGTCTTTTCCAGCAACTTGATCCGCTGACGGTCCTTGTCGCAGCGGCGGAATCGCTGCAGCTTCGGRTTRTGGTAGGTGACGGCTCCGGATTCCATCCCAAAGGTCTTTTTCAGGTTCGAGTGGGGAGTATAGACGATCTTGCACGAGGCTAGCTTGCAGCCAGAGATCGAGTTGTGCTTRACGATCTGGCACATGTCCTCGACGGACTCGTCCGGAAGGTCGTCGATCGGGATCTGGCCCAGGAGGCCTTTAATGCTGCTGGTGTTGCTGGTATTTTTGGTGTTTCCGAAACAATCGAGCCGGAAGTAGACATGGGCCGAGGACAACCCCTCKACGTGGAACCAAATGTCGCCCGGCCATCCGTACTTGATGAGATACTCGTTCTCGTGTTTGTCCCGGCCGACATAGCAGGTGATGTCTTCGGAGGTCAGCGTAATGTGCGAGTGACTGTTCTTGCACTGTCCTCCACGGATGGTGTAGTAGAAGACCATCTTTTTGCGTGCTACTTGAAGCGTCTGTTGGTAGCAGTGATTCCTTGCCGTGATTGTCCAGTAATCYAGCTTTGTGCTGATCGCCTAATGCAGCATTCATTTGATTGAGGGAGACCATCCATCTCGTACAGCTCGTACGGTGCGATACAAAACCGTATTTTCGAGATGGGATGTGCTGTGCGGCCTCCGATATGTTGTGAGCTAAGGTTGTGCTTGGCACGAATCGTGGTGATGGATCTTTCATACTTTCTCAGTAGTAAAAGGAGTACCGTACAGTACAGTACGAAGCACCATGTACGATGTACGATAGTATGGTATCGAATGGTATCGATAGTCGATAGCTTCATACGAAGAGTACGTTCGTATCTATAAATCTATAATCTATGGTAAAGAAGTACTCGGATTTTGATTGGGCAAGATTTTTTGTTTCGAAAAAAGAGAAGAAGCTGCAGCTGGCTCCATTTGGTAGCGTACTGAGCGTGCGCGATTCCTTTTCGGAATAATGTGGGTACGTAACCTTCCGTAGAGAACATTACTGTTGTGGCTTGGCGTATGATGTAGTACTATTTTGTACTGAATGAGAAACACCGAACAAGAAAAGATCGCATCGTACGAGCGTACTGTACTGTACTGTACTGAACTTGGTACAGAATGAAGTTCAGGGTAGTATCGTACGGTACTGTAAAAATCTGGCACAAAACGGAAGTTTCTGATCCGAATACGACAGCAATAGCCTCTTCATTTTCTGCGTCACCACAATCAGTGATCACAGCAACCGCAACACCGTGCCGTGTACAGGAATATTCTCCTATCCATTCCATAATGACCGATTCCAAACAAAGCTATGGAGCTATCCCTGGCGATGCTCCTCGCCGCAAATCAAGYGCCCCGTCCAGGGAAGACCTCGGTCGCGCATGCAGCAGGGTGTCGCTGGTGGAGATCTCTCCAGCTTCTCCTCCTTCTTCCGTCGACATCGAAGGCGGCGTTGAACCGGGAGGGCCCCTCTACTCCATCATGGCCGAGATTATGCCGATCATGAACATTGTTTCCTATGTTCCGCTTTTCCTCCCCAGCTTTCTATCGGACGACTTGGACCTTGCCGCAACCCTTGCCACTGGATTGTCCGTCCTCACCATGATCGTAGACTACCTTTGGTACAAAGTGGGGGGATCCAAGATTGCGGTGAAGGTGCTGAGCACCTCCCTCGCTATTGCCTACGGATCCGTCTTCCTTCTCACCMGCGGATTGCTCGGTCCCTCCATTCGGGATATGTGCCTTCAAATCGCCTGGTTCAACGCCATTTCGAACAGTCTCATTTTTCTGTGCCTGTTGCTGGCATACAAGCACGGGCATTCCTTTGTGAAGGACGCCCTGACAGACTCGATGGGGGAGGCCCAGTTGTCCTACCCCATCATTATGCACCTCGAGAGCCGGCTGGAARTCAACTGGCTGGCGGCCTTTCTCGGCATGGCCCTGGCCGGCCTAACCGGAGCTCTCTTCGGCAACGAAGACAGCAGCGATCTGTTCGTGACGCTCTTTGTCGATCCTGCATACGCGATCAACATCTTCCTGGGCCTCGGCTTCGTCGGGATGGCTATGTATCCGAAGCACCTGATCAATACCATCGACGAAAAAATGGAGTTCTACAAGGACGATATCGCTCGGTGGGAAGAAGAACATCCCGATGCGGAAGTCCCTTTTGGAATGGAGTAACACATGAATGTCAAAGACGACACCAACAACAATTGCTTCATGAATAATCTTTTCAAGCAGGTCGAACAGTTAAAGAAAGATCACGATCACTTCTCATAATGTTATAATAGTAGTTGCCGTAACGAATCTTCCCATAGTCTCGGTGTCGTACCCGCTGTTGGAGCTAGCTCGCAAAATATTTTAGTGTCAAGTCGTCATGTTGTCARAACCTGCCTTCTCGTCTTCTCACTGTGAGCTGTGGAACCAGGACAAAATTGCAGTCACCCCCATCGGCACCTCGGACTAGTGGTATGGTCGTCTGCTTGACCTGCTAGTAGTACTTCATCGGGCAACCGGCATTGGTGGCATGCCTTGTATACTACGGCTACTAGTGTTCTAGTACCTTCTCAAAAAACTCTCGCTTTGCGTCGTCGAATTCGAATCCTTTTTCTTGCTAGAAAACTTAAGCCCATCACTAGAGCTACCCGCTACAAATAGGACTATTCATTACAATCACGAGGAGGAGAAATGATGAAGCAGCAGTCTCACTTGAAGCCTCATCGTTCTTTCTTCCGTATGTACGATAACGTCGTATCTACTATTTTTATCTACTCTCTGTCCGAAAGCGTACATATAAATTACTATGAAAGTCGCAATTCGGGAAAAGCGGCACGGGGAAAGTAGTGCAGAAAAGTTGAGAGCGCTATTAGATTCAGAGAATTCCCGATAACATATTTTCCGATATGTTTTCGGGAATCACTTTCAGTGGTACAGAAGACACAGATTTCAAGCTCAACTTACATATTTTCCCCCCATTTTTGGAATTTGGAATCCTGTATAAATTGCATGCAAAAGATGTGCTTTTTTCTTCCTTGACACTTGAATCGGTTTGAGGCCTGTTTAGGGCGCACCTGCTCCCGAGACTGAAATGGTTAAGTCAAGGATTCTACATGTGACGGCAAAACTTTTCCATGTGGCTTTCCCTATCCCGAAAATGATGCACGTTTCCCAAGTCAAAACTTCTACTGGCGTGTTTTGAAGAATATTATAGAAATCGGTGATCAAGATTACGAATCTTATTGATGTCCGTTGGACGTTGGGGATTTCCATTGACGAAGACGCTCACGCAGAATGCGTTCCGTTTCTTTGGGAATTTTCATTGGCTCGGTTAATTTATTCAACGGAATAAACATGTGTAAGACATGTGTAAAAGTCTGCTTTTTATCGATACTATTCATGTGAAAAATCGTTAGGGCTTGAACAGCTCCATTTTTGTCACGTGACTATGTCATATTTTGTTTTCAAATGACTATGTCATAGATCCATCGGTTCTCCATTTTTGTCATGTGACTATGTTATAATTTGTTGTCACGTGACTATATCATAGATCCACCGGTTCTCTTTTTCGGAGAATCATTGCCAGGTGTAGTCAACAAAAATATCGTTAAAATATCGCATCTTCCCCAGCCACGGGTAATGCTTCCCTACGTGAATTGAAGTTTCGCACCGTACTCTAGTTACGGTGCGATACGGTATGTGGTACGAGCAAATGCCAAAAATAATGACACGGTACGGTATGTGGTACGAGCAAATGCCAAAAATAATGACACATGGAAAATTGCATGTAAAATCTCTCGACAACAGCGATTCCGTTTGTGTCACAAAAAACACAAGACACATACAATCGAACAATTATTTATCAGAAGTACAATACCATGGGATCTACCAAAGCAGCACGACCTTCCGTATCCAAGCCGGCCCACCAGAAGTCGTACAGAAACGTCGACGAATCAGGTGAAGANGAAAAAAGAGAAGAAGCTGCAGCTGGCTCCATTTGGTAGCGTACTGAGCGTGCGCGATTCCTTTTCGGAATAATGTGGGTACGTAACCTTCCGTAGAGAACATTACTGTTGTGGCTTGGCGTATGATGTAGTACTATTTTGTACTGAATGAGAAACACCGAACAAGAAAAGATCGCATCGTACGAGCGTACTGTACTGTACTGTACTGAACTTGGTACAGAATGAAGTTCAGGGTAGTATCGTACGGTACTGTAAAAATCTGGCACAAAACGGAAGTTTCTGATCCGAATACGACAGCAATAGCCTCTTCATTTTCTGCGTCACCACAATCAGTGATCACAGCAACCGCAACACCGTGCCGTGTACAGGAATATTCTACTATCCATTCCATAATGACAGAGTCCAAACAAAGCTATGGAGCTATCCCTGGCGATGCTCCTCGCCGCAAATCAAGCGCCCCGTCCAGGGAAGACCTCGGTCGCGCATGCAGCAGGGTGTCGCTGGTGGAGATCTCTCCAGCTTCTCCTCCTTCTTCCGTCGACATCGAAGGCGGCGGTGAACCGGGAGGGCCCCTCTACTCCATCATGGCCGAGATTATGCCGATCATGAACATTGTTTCCTATGTTCCGCTTGTCCTCCCCAGCTTTCTATCGGACGACTTGGACCTTGCCGCAACCCTTGCCACTGGATTGTCCGTCCTCACCATGATCGTAGACTACCTTTGGTACAAAGTGGGGGGATCCAAGATTGCGGTGAAGGTGCTGAGCACCTCCCTCGCTATTGCCTACGGATCCGTCTTCCTTCTCACCMGCGGATTGCTCGGTCCCTCCATTCGGGATATGTGCCTTCAAATCGCCTGGTTCAACGCCATTTCGAACAGTCTCATTTTTCTGTGCCTGTTGCTGGCATACAAGCACGGGCATTCCTTTGTGAAGGACGCCCTGACAGACTCGATGGGGGAGGCCCAGTTGTCCTACCCCATCATTATGCACCTCGAGAGCCGGCTGGAAGTCAACTGGCTGGCGGCCTTTCTCGGCATGGCCCTGGCCGGCCTAACCGGAGCTCTCTTCGGCAACGAAGACAGCAGCGATCTGTTCGTGACGCTCTTTGTCGATCCTGCATACGCGATCAACATCTTCCTGGGCCTCGGCTTCGTCGGGATGGCTATGTATCCGAAGCACCTGATCAATACCATCGACGAAAAAATGGAGTTCTACAAGGACGATATCGCTCGGTGGGAAGAAGAACATCCCGATGCGGAAGTCCCTTTTGGAATGGAGTAACACATGAATGTCAAAGACGACACCAACAACAATTGCTTCCTGAGTAATCTTTTCAAGCAGGTCGAATAGTTAAAGAAAGATCACGATCACTTCTCATAATGTTATAATAGTAGTTGCCGTAACGAATCTTCCCATAGTCTCGGTGTCGTACCCGCTGTTGGAGCTAGCTCGCAAAATATTTTAGTGTCAAGTCGTCATGTTGTCAGAACCTGCCTTCTCGTCTTCTCACTGTGAGCTGTGGAACCAAGACAAAATTGCAGTCACCCCCATCGGCACCTCGGACTAGTGGTATGGTCGTCTGCTTGACCTGCTAGTAGTGGCATGCCTTGTATACTACGGCTACTAGTGTTCTAGTACCTTTTCAAAAAACTCTCGCTTTGCGTCGTCGAATTCGAATCCTTTTTCTTGCTAGAAAACCTAAGCCCATCACTAGAGCTACCCGCTACAAATACGACTATTCATTACAATCACGAGGAGGAGAAATGATGAAGCAGCAGTCTCACTTGGAGCCTCATCGTTCTTTCTTCCGTATGTACGATAACGTTGTATCTACTATTTTTATCTACTCTCTGTCCGAACGCGTCCATATATATTACTATGAAAGTCGCAATTCGGGAAAAGCGGCACGGGGAAAGTAGTGCAGAAAAGTTGAGAGCGCTATATTAGATTCAGAGAATGAAATCTACATGTGACGGCAAAACTTTTCCATGTGGCTTTCCCTATCCCGAAAATGATGCACGTTTCACAAGTCAAAACTTCTACTGGCGTGTTTTGAAGAATATTGAAGAAAACGGTGATCAAGATTACGAATCTTATTGATGTCCGTTGGACGTTGGGGATTTCCATTGACGAAGACGCTCACGCAGAATGTCCTTGGGAATTTTCATTGGCTCGGTTAATTTATTATGCAACAACTCGCTGTAAGATTCAACGGAATAAACATGTGTAAGACATGTGTTAGTCTGCTTTTTACCGATACTATTCATGTGAAAAATCGTTAGGGCTTGAACAGCTCCATTTTTGTCACGTGACTATGTTATATTTTGTTGTCACATGACTATGTCATAGATCCACCGGTTCTCTTTTTCGGAGAATCATTGCCAGATGTAGTCAACAAATAATCAACAAAAATATCGCATCTTCCCCAGCCACGGGATATGCTTCCCTACGTGAATTGAAGTTACGCACCGTACTCTAGCTACTGCGCGGTACGGTATGTGGTACTAGCAAATGCCAAAGCTAATGACACCATGTGAAATCTCTCGACAACAGCGATTCCGTTCGTGTCATAAAAACACAGAAGACACATACAATCGAACAATTATTTATTACAATACCATGGGATCTACCAAAGCAGCACGACCTTCCGTATCCAAGCCGGCCCACCAGAAGTCGTACAGAAACGTCGACGAATCAGGTGAAGAGGTGAAAGGGTTCTCGGAATACATGTTCGAAGCTCTCCATCACTTCATGATGTTCTCATCATACATTCCTCTCTTCCTCGGGCAGTTCATCGAAGACTTTCAAATCGCAGCGGCAGCTTCCTTGGGTGTGGTTGTTTTCAATGCCTTGCTCTCCTTTATGATGTACAAGCTGGGRAAAACCCAGAGCTGGCCAAAACCACTTGATATCTGTTTTTTCGTTCTCTTCGGCATCATGGTAATTGTCGTGTTTGCCTAYCCGGCTTCAGCCGACTTCTGGAGATTCTGGCAGGGTGTATACTTCAACTTTGSTTCTTTCCTGTTTCTCTCTGTGATGTGGTGCTTCGGGATGCCCTTCACCGAAACTTACGTCGAGGACGAGTACGGCAAGATCGGCGTCACTCATCCCGTCTGCCAATGGGGTRTTRMAATTAACTGYGGCGTTTGGGTTGCCTCGTTCTTCAYTTTGGGTTGCTTGAGTTTGCCGGCTGGTATCGCACAACARCTAGGAAAACCGAGCACAGACCTGTTGGCCATTTCCACCTACGGAACCATTGTTGTGATGGTTTCGGCGCTTTCATTTTCCTTCATGTTGTTCCCTTGGTATATGGAAAAATACGARGAYMMRATTTTCKWCAAGTTCATGGATCAAATTCTTGAATGGAACGCTAAGCATCCGGACGAAGACTGGGCTATTGAATTTGAAAAAGCCATGGCRGAAGAAAAAGCAGCAGCCCAAGCGCAACTCAGTCAGAATGTTTGAGGATCCCAACGGTTTTTACGTCAGTTTGGGGCGGACCTCGAAGRCGATCTTCACCAACGAATCAAACCTCATCTAGTSAAATAATGTATTGATAAARCATCTTAAYATCAAATATCYATYAGGATATTTATCCATTACTATTGAATCGATGTCTCTTCTCAAGCATACGTATCCGCTGCGTACCGGTACCGGTACACCGTTGTTGCCGAAAGGTTGCGAGACAGTTTGTACTCGTACTCTGGAAGCCTCGTGTGAGGTCTGGATGACACGTGTACAAGAAAATTCCTGATCCTTCCATAGTTACTGCCCGCATCGAGCAAAAAATAGCGTTGTTTCTCTGACTTGCCATTGATATTGGGGCCGAATTGGGGGATGGTTTTGTTGCCATTTGCAAGATTCATTATTTCGCTAAACGAATCGTTCCTTTTGACTCACTTTTCGTTCTTTTCGACCATTCGGAGTAACATTTTTTCCCGTTGGATCACCCTGTGTCCACTCTCAAATATTCCGTCCACAGCCAGTTCTACATTTYATCTCGATCGAGGACTATCACGACTTTTAAAGTTGTTAAGGTTGCTTGCGACATTCCACACAAAATCACCRGTACAATTGAACAAAGTAATACTATTCACAAATAATTCTAGAACTCTGTAATATTCGAAAAGAACGTGTACGTTGGTAAGAGAGACTATCSGGGTCACGGTTCATCTGTGGTTTCTGGGTAGCTCAATAGTCTTCCAGAATATGTCTCGCGCCTGGCCAAAAAGCTAGTTGCTGTTTGGAGTGTATCCGACAGTTGATTGCCAGAGATGAAAAAACGACTATACATCGCTTAGAAATSAGCTACGCAGGTGGATTTGTTCGTCTTGATCATTCAATTATTTATTGTCAATCTACTGTTTTCGTTGCACGCGCGCCACTCGACCTGCCTCCCCCCAGCTTCGAATGGCGAAGGATCCTCGCTCTGGTGTGTGCGTGCGTGTGTGTGTGTGTGTGTGTGTGTGTTTGTCTAACATTCTTGTTCGTCTCGGTACATCCTTCGTTGTTTTTCCTGTCGTTCCCGCTCGAACGTATCGACGCTTCTCACGCGGTGGACATCGGATTGGTTGCGGAGGGCCGCGGCCTTGCGCTCCCCCTCGCAGGCGTCGCAGTACGCCGAGGTRCACTGGTGGACGTCGATCTTGGGGTCGCCCCGCAGCCCGTTGAAGGTGGACAGGACCATTCCCAGCAGGCGGCTGCCCACCGACGACACGCTCTTGGCGGTATTGGCGTGGTTGTGGTCCATTTCGGCCATCGCCATCTCCTCGTCGTCCGTGTCKTCGTTCTTTCCCTCTCTCGGGCTGCCGCAACAGCAGCAGTAGATCCAGAGGAGCAAGAGSAGCAAGACCRCAAAGACTACCGAGAGAGCAATGGCKAGGGATCTCTTGCTGTTGGTGTTRTCCACGCTCGATTCTCGGTTGTCCACGATCGCCCCGCCGTTGCTYCCCCCCAGCCCCGCAACGAACKCCACCGACGAGGAAGTGGAGCTACCAAAGCTGCTAMCGGTCGACGGGGGCACGGTCGGGATGTCCTCGGGACAGGGAATCACCTGGGCCGCCGTCGGACACAGGCCGCAGGAGAGGGGACAGAATTCCTTCAAAAACGGGCTGGTGTCGTCGTCCCTAGAGAGACGAAAGTTGCACCGGACCATGGGCTTGGTGGCCACCCAGGTGCAGTTTTTCATGTCGACGAGTCCCACGTTGCGATCYAGGTGCTTGTATCGGAAGGTGGAATCGTCCGTGCACAGGCGTGCCAGTTCGGCCTCGACCTCGTGCTCGCCGTCCTCGATGGCCGCGGTCACGATGGCGGTGTCCGTCGTGTCCGTTGCTGCGGCCGTGGTGGTGGTGGTCGTCGTCGTCTCTGTTGTCTCGTCGTTGGSATCGAGGGCGGCTCCCGCAATCTCCGAATCGCCGTCGGTTTTTCCTGCTAGGCTGTGAAACGTGGCGACGGAGCTYTGAACCGATGGTTCGAACGCACGGGCGTCCGGTTCGATTTGTTCTTTTGCGAGCGCAAAACTCGTTCCCAGAAGGAGAAGASCGAGCCCAAGGATGACGGTCGTTCTGTTTTTGGTACCGTGGATCGCCATTTTGGTTGGTGGGTGTCGGGCTTGAACTGAAACTCGGGATGGATTGGAACCTTAGGGAGAGTACTTTTGTTGGAACCAAAGAAACTGATGACCCTTGTTGCAGAGTTACAAACGATCCCGATTGGAATGGAATGGAATGGAATGGAATTGGTTCTAAATTGCCAAACGCGTTGTTGCGCTTTGTATGTTTGTTTTGTTTTCTTTGAATTTGTTTCGTTTCGTTTCGTTTCCGATGTGTCTTTTCCAGAAACCGTGTGAGTGCAACAGGAGATTGGGCAGAGTCTGTCTTTCTCGATTACCAACAAACACGGCAGTGTATCGCAAGTGTGTTTGTTGGTATTTGCTAGTACCTTGTACAGCCAATCGGATCGGATGCCGTGCAAGGGGTACGAAGGACCATTCCTATCGTTCGTCTATGATGAAAACAGGTGCTTCCAACCGAGGGATCGATTTGTTCCGATTCGAACAGGAGCCGTTGACCGTAGGTTACCGAGAGCAACTCCATCCGTTGCGTCTCGCACGCGAACAAAAGAAATTTCTTGCTAACCAAATTAAGGTACATGGCGGATTTTGGTCGCAACTATGTAGGTAATTGGATAAGCTCATCGCTGAACACCGCCAAATTTGMGTCTCCGATTTAATGTTTTATTGTTTTTAATTGGAATGGTTGAACTTCGGAACGTTGCGTACAGTACTTAACACAAATCATCGGTGTTGCGACAACTTTCATAGTACGGTACCAGGTACATACTGGAAACAACGAGGTTCTACGGTGCGGTAAGACACATGTATTAACCCAAACCCCGATATAGAATAGAACTTGCCAGGGATTTTTATTTCTGACCTCATGACACCGGACTTACTAATACTACATACCGTGCATATGAATTGCATTTATCTACAATACTCACCACAGTTCGAGTATCACAACGTACGAGTACGTAGTACCCTGCCCGTACCAGTAATTGAGTATCGTATCGTACCATTGCGAGTATTTAGAGAGCCGTCCAACAAAAAGGAAGACAAAAACGACAAAGAGAGTTGACGAAAAACAAACACAAAAGTTGGACTAGGACCCGTTGCATTCGCACCCTAGAAGCAAGAACAAAGCTCGCAACACAGCACCACCGCACCCTTCAAAAGGAGCAAGAAAGAAACAACGACGGAGAGAAAGCAGAGTTGTTTGCTCTGATTCCGTGGGCGTTCGCCACCTCCCCACGAACCGAGCTGTTCTGACTTTTTCACASTGTTGCSTGTGAAMAATCYCAACCACACACATCTTGCTCTCCAAAACAACCGTTTGGTTCGAACCGCAGAGGCAACGCGACATGCTGCCGCCGCCAAGAATCCGTTCCATCGCTTCCGAGTAGCCAGAGCGAGACTTTTTCGCATCGTGAGTGAGTTGCTCTGCCCGCCAACCACCGCCGTTGCACCCGCAAAACATCCAACGATGTCATCGCTGCCTCCGCCGSAACCGCGACCCACCGCGGCGCTCCTCCTCGATCTTCCCGACCTCGAGGCGTATCTCCTCTCGYTGCTCKCGCACGATCTCTCCGAGGCCACCCATTGGGCGGGGGAATCCTGGAACCAGGTTAGGGAAGCGGTCCCCGTGCTGCTGGCGGCGTTGCCGTCCATCGGAGCCAGGGACGCAGGGCTTGAAACAAGGAAAAGGACAAGGACAAGGAGGAGCGCCGATTCCTCCCCCCCGGGACCGGAGGTGGCCACGGCGCTCCCCAATCGAGGACAGCGGTCGACGTCGTCGTCGTCGTGGTCGCTGCCGCTGCCGCTGTCCTCCTTTCGCCCGCTGGTCCCGGCGCTGGTGCTTTCGGCGTGCACCGTTCTCGCCTCCGGGAGCACCGGACCCGCGTCTGCCTCGCTGGTCGGCCGGGGGCCGTCGTTGAGCGGCAGTGGTGGCTCGGGGGCCGGGAACGGCCCCAGCGGAATCCGAAGGCGCCTCTTGGTCTACGCACTTCTGAGGGGCTTCCTCCCCGAGCTGTACCGCATCGCGGTAGAGCACCTGGCAGGAGCGGCAGCGGCCGAGGACGCCAAAGACCSGGGTGCTTCCGACGCGGACGRCAMTGCAACAACGGGTGCGATGCGGCGGCTGGCGGCCCGCCGCAGGCTCCTCGTYCTGCGGTGGCTGGTGCGGTTCCTGGACGGAGCGTTGCTGCCGGGGATGCGGCTGGCGCTCCTGCTCTCGTGCTGGGGATCGCCGGCGTCGACCAAMRGCAACGGGACCGGCCGCCACCAAACCCACGCCGGGAATCTTTCCCTCTGGTGGTCGGGCCTGTCGTACGGCCACAACGGCGGCCTCGCGGGACAAACCCCAAACAACGACAACACCAACAGCAACGACAACACCAACAGCAACAACAACACCATCGCCAACAACACCAAGCTGGTTCCCCTCTTTGTCTTGTACGCCCACCAGCGGTGGCTGCACAGGGTCGGCACCGAGCTGTGGATCACCGTTTCCGGTGGCCTCTCCGCGAGCGGCACGGATGTGATCGATTTGGTGCGGTACGCTCTGGCACGGGCAAGGCCGGGCCCRGCTCCATTGGGCCGCTGGCGACGGAGATGGGCCGCGGTGCTGCCCCGGACGATCGTTTCCGGGGAGGGAGCGTCCTGCAGAGAAGCGGTGGAAGCATCATCGTCATCGATCGAACCGGCCGCCAAGCCGGGAGCACCCTGCTCGATCTGCGGAGCGGCGGCCCCTGTGGTTCCCTACCGCGTGGTGGTGGCGGGTTGTTGGAACTGCTGTGGCAGCGAGCCCGGGGAAACGGCARAGGCAAAGGCAACACCAAATACCGGTCACACCCACCAAGCCACGCGAGCCACCAAAGTGGCGTGCTACACCTGCCTGTGGGAGGCACTGGCCACCGCTGCCGCCGCCAGCGGGGACGGGGACGAGAACGAGAACAATCCCGGCCACAACACTGCTGTTGTTGCTGCTGCTGCTGCTGCTGCCTCGAAAGGAGGAACCAACAGAACTCCGAGCCTCGCCCTGGAGTGGTGCCCGTTCTGCTTCCGATCGGACGCCGAGATTCTCGGGTGCGAACCGGTGTAGACCTCGTTTTGCCGGAAGGCACGAATCTGGTTGCTGGAAATTGATTGATTTCTATTTCCGAGTCGGTTCGCATCGTTTTCTTCATTGGACACGGGCCGTGGTCTTGGGATGGTTCGCTGGTTGGTTGGTTGGCTGGCTGGCTCGGATGTTTGCGGGACCGGCTGCTGGTATGGTGGTCGAGGGCGACAGAGATGCCAATCCAACAAAAGAAACGGGTCAAAGCACGAATCGCACGCGCCGGTCGCCTTTCTTGTGCAAGGTCTGCAGGTATGCCATTTGCTTCTGTTTCTGGCATCCTGCCGTTCTCGCAATCGATCGCAGCGTCCCTGCGTCCGCTCTGGCTACCCAACCGCCATTGCAAGATTTTTTCGCATTGGTATTGTATCTCCTCGTACAACACGCCATGAAGAGAGAACCCAACGAGTGTGTTAGTTGCTTCTGTGTTCACGAAAGGTCCATAAAACCGCAAAAACGCATTCCGAATTCCGTTGCGTTTCAAAATTGCTAAAATAATACTATAGAGAAATACATAATCCTAAAGTACATTGATTGGTTTGGTGGTGTTTGTATAAGGTGCCATTCACTGCTCCGTCA